TTTTCAATTTGTTTGTGGTCTAGGGGATAAAATAAGATTCCCCCAAAAAACCAGTAACTTGCTTGGACAAGTTTCAATCAATTCAATTCAGTTTTTCCAGCTTAATAACTGAAGTGAAGAGACTAAATATTAGGAAGGCTCTGCCTTTTCCCTTCCACCTAAGAAACAGAAAAAGCACTTAGTACCAAGCTAGAAAGAGTAAGTGTTCCTATTCCTCCTAATCTGCTTTGTACAGTATTGCTGAGGCAATGGCTTTAGATCTCATCACAGGAAAAAAATCTCCTAGCACTTTCCAAGTACACTCTTATACAAAAAAGTGAAGATGAGAGAAAGTTTAAAGAGCAAAATTGTGAAAAACCAAACCTAAAGTTCCATGATGACTAATCTAGTCTGTTCCATGTTCAAGTGAAAGGATAAGAAACTATTCTGATAACAAAAATAAGATAAATCCTCTTTTGAGTTTCCCTGGAAGAGCTAACCATTGTTAATGTTACTTGAGTGGCTAAAAGAGCACAAAAAAATTAAATACTAAGAGTGTTTTGTTAGAAATCTAAGCCAAAAAACAGTCCAAAAAGAAAAAAGCAGGAAAGGAGAAGAGTGAAGAACTCAGAATTTCTGAAAATGAAAACTACCCATCTGAAGGGGAAAAGAAGCAAATATGCATTCAGAACTGGACTTACAGATTGTATTTTGCAAGTTTAAAATTCTACTAAAAGCAGACAAAGGCTGAGCAGTGACAACAGCAGTTAAAAACTCCTGTTGCTTTTTGATTATTAAAATACACTGGCAAAGTCATTCAATTCAGTAATTGCTTCTGAAAAAATACAATTAACAACTTCTGCACAGACATTTGATAATAAAATACTTTTCATTTAGAGAAGAAAAAGTAGCATTTATAGAATGCAAGACATGGTTTTGAATTTGCATTCAAATGATAAAAAACAAACCTATAGATTAATTAAAGAATCTTCACAATCAGCTGGGAAAGGGGCTGTTATTTAGATGGGCATCAAGAGAATGACAGCATAGGAAAGTCCTCCACTACCTGGGCCATTCTAACTGGGTATCACTACAAAAACCATTACCCCTACAGCCACCACACTAGAAATGACAGGATATGAAGTGTGATTATGAGACTGAGAAGGCCACACTAGGTCACATTAAGGCATTCTCTCCTGATTGTGTGCGCATAACTACAGGTAATAGCATCTGGTCACCTTGTCTCGACTTGTAAGTTAAGCAGGATTAGGCCAAACTAATACTTGGATGGGAAACCATCAGGAATTCCAAAGCTCCAGACTAGATTAGGAAGCCCCCAAAAAGTAAATCCCCAAATCTTTTAAGACAATGCCAGCAACTTCCATACTGTAAGAAAAACTGCATGAATATTTGTGTGAAGTCACCAGGCTCAGCTCAGACATTCTTACTTTCAGAAACTCATCTTCCTGTGGGATGTGGAAACAATCCTTGGTCTTACATGCTTATTTTATCCCTCATCTCTTTAATGACCTCAAAAGTAATGCCCAATCCTGGTATTCTGTGATATTGTTTTATCGCAATGATTCAATCCAGACACAATAAACCCCAGTCTCACACCTTTCCTTTCCAAGAACCAGAAGAAGTAAAGAAAACAAGGCATTCCCGCATCCAACATCAAGTTGCTCTGTTGTGCCAAAATTCAGAGCTCTGTGGCTGGATAAAACTCAGTAAACAAGCCAGACTCAAAAACTGGTTTAAACAAACCATAATTTCTGCACTTTGGTTTTAACAAGGAAATGTGATTTATTTGAAATTGCAAGTTTCACATTTCCTTTCCTGGCATGCAAAACAGAAGGAAAAGGAAAGAAGGCACTAACATTCAGAAAATCCTGAATTTGTCTATCAAAATAAAAAGAGCAAAGCATCACCATTTATCATTAAGATGACTACAAACTGAATGCCTCCTTAGAAGAAAGCTTTAATCTTTTCTGGTTTGCTCATCATGAAATTATTAAAACTGGCTCTTAATACTATGCCATTCACTTGAAAACAGGATATGACTTCATCACCACTGGACTAAGGTAACCAGGTACAATCAACAACAAAAGCTCTTAAATACTTAATAGTTGTGGAGAGAAGGGAATTTCAGCAGGTGCAGTTATTGCCCACATCAACACAGTCAGAAAGTGGCATGGGTCACCAATTCCCCATTCTGCTTCATTAAATGCCTAATACTGTCTGGCACTTTGAGCACTCCTGCGGAGTGGAGGACATCTGTGTCCTCTCTTAACTTTTATTCACTGTAGTCTGTTTTATATTAATGATGGCTAGGGTTTTTAAAACCAAATTGTATTTAGCATCTATCAGCTCTGAGCAAAGGTGTAGGTTACCTTGAATGTCAAGAAAGATGGGGGAGATGCTGTTGCATCAAAACAAGCTACAAGAATTGCAAAAGAAAAAGAGAATGGTTTGTATCACAGGATCCTGAATACACAAACAGATATCATCTTATCAGTTAACAATGGAAACCAGTGTTGTCTTGCAAGTTATATATAGACCCAGCATCATTAAGACTTAAGCCAAGAGCCATAGTAGCAGGCATGCAGCAAAAATGAAAGCAGTTGTGACAAGTTGAATGGATTGACCTGAAACAACTGGGTTCAGAGGGAAGATGATAAAAAAGGGCAAGGAAGCAATCACTCATCTTTTGTCATAACTAGACCAAAATTTTGCCAGACTACACGACTGAACAAATTAATATTACCTTCCTCTCTTTTGTTTGCTTAAGTAACCTGTTTATAAATTTAATCATTCCATGTATGTACTAGGTATTATTTAAGGATGTTGTTAGGGGAAAGAAAAAGAAAATCTAAACTAGTTCCAGATGTGGGCTTCAGGGTGGGAAAGGGGGTTGGAAAGTTTGCAGTACAGATGTTCATCACGAACAATGCACTCCAAAATCACAACTGATAAGATTTCTACTAGGCAGCATTGTCTGGAATCAAACCCT